GCTTCTTATGTAGTCTTTGACTCTTTGACAAGCCGTTCCGCAAATGCGGCAGGAGGCAGGGGTTTGAAGGTGTCCGCCAAGTCGCGAAAAAGTCGTGGAGTCAGGTCTAGTCGAGTTGAAAAAGATGTCCCCAATTCATGCTGTTTGTCCTTGCTACTAGTAGCTTCTTGCTCCTAGTAGCGATGCCCTTTGTTACTAGTAGCGATGCACTTGTTCCTAGTAGCTTCTTGTTACTAGTAGTGAAAGTTCCTTCTCGACATGTAGTGGCCCTACGCAGGAATTTGCTGCTTGAGATCTACGGAAAGTATCGAGTCGGCCATGAAGCCAAGCTCAAAGAGGCTGAGCACAGAGATCCATATTGTACCTATGCTGATGACGTTGATGAGAAACAGAAAGCACAAAAAGAATCCCACGTCTTAAGATGTATTGGTGGTGCTTCTCACGTTGAGACATTGCCAGTTAGACCATATGATTGCCACATTATTGCATTGCATCGTACCGTTTGTCGACAACGATTGTGCCTAATTACCTTCGTCAACCGCTTGCACGAAGGTTGAGAACTTGGCAGCAGTCCTGGAGCCCTTCTCGGAAGTATTGACGGTGCTACCCTGTGCGCAAAGATATGCAAAGATTGTGTCTTGAGTTTAGAGATGGTATGGGTGTTCCCCGAACCTATGGAGGTGGCGAACCCGCATCTGACAAATGTCCCTGTACCTAAGCACTTTCACTTACCTGCCTTTGAGCTACATCCCTAATATATCCTATATCAGGAAGATGCTCGCTTTTTTTGTCCAGAGTGAAGGAGGGAGGTCAGATGCACGAAACAGGTTGCCAGCTACGATACGGCTGAAAATCATCTTCCTCGAGAAGAGTTCGATCGTGACAAGCAGCTTGGCTGAATTGACTGTGCGAGTTCTCAGTCTGTGGAAATCCAACTCTTCAGGAATTCGGTTAGCCCGCCCCTTGCAAATGAATAATTTTTACATGCGGTATCATGTTGATATTCTTTGATGCTTGGAGAGGTATGCTTCGCACACTGAGTGGTATTGGATACCAGCCCCTTGCTTGCATGCCAGTGGTGCAGAAAGGAGTCTTTGGTGGTAGAGTACAATGTATAGAAAGTCAGGCCAGAGTGAGCAACGCGTTGCATCAATTTGCATCACCAATATTGTAAACAACGCATGCGGGCCTTTAGTTTCTTTTTGCCACTGCGGAATCCTGCGCATACACTGGTCACTAGGAGTCTATATGGCAGCAGCATGATTGCAGGTGAGTGGTTCACCCGCAAAGCTGGTCAAGCCTAAAAGGGCTTCGGCCTGAGGTGAACAGCGAATTTGCGGAATTTGTGTTTCCTGCTTTGCTGGAAGCCCTCCCATGTCCCTGCCTTTTGTTTGGCTTTCTGGTACTGAGGATGCGCCAATGAAGAAGGTGCTGAACTTCGTCAGTTCTCAAGCACCAGAGCTCCAGCCTACCTGGCATGCATTTGGCTTTGCTTGGTAAAAAAGACCTTGGAACAATTATACACTGTGATACAGTGATACAAAAGAACGGTTTCCGATACCCAAGCGAAACCGGCCCAATGAATGCGATTAAGTTGATGCTGCTCCATCGATGCAGTCGGTAGCAAGTTGTTTGTTGGCTGGTCGATGGAGGACTGCTTCGCTCAAGAGTGGACCCCATCGGTCTCATGTCCATTGCTGTTGACAATGATAAAGGACCTTGATATTGATGTAGTGGTCCCAGGAAAGTATGTCTTTTGCACGTGACTAGAAGCAGTGTTTGCAGGCTCTCAGTGACGGATCTGATGGTGAAATGGGAAGCAGCCATGAAGGAGAAATAAGAAGCATGTTGAGCTGGTGCTGGGTGAGCGGTGGCCATGTTTCCTTCTTTGCGATATGTAGGGCGGTCGATGCTTTGCAGTTTTCAGGCTTGACATATTTCTCATGCAGAAAGGATTTTTTGTACAATGATGGCAACTACTCGCACTATCTAGGGGAGGCTGTTTGACGGCTCCATTTCTGAAATGTAGACATCTTTAGACTCGAAGGGCCCTTGACTCTTCAAATATCCCGCAAGGGCGACGGCCGCAACATTTGTCGGCACAAGCCGGCCACGGAGACATCTCAGGAGAATCCACCACCAGAGCCGGCCAAAGCAGGCAAAGTGGACAGACACCAGAATCATGAGTTGTGGGCTTGGGGGAGGGTCAAATCTGGCAATCGCACAGTTCTTGGGTTCTTGGGGCAGCTGGGATCACAGATGACACTGTGGCCATGAAGGTGCCTTGGGTGATGTGAATTTCGTCGGGGCTCCTGGATAAAGGATAACGTTTGAGCAGGAACTGTTCTTTTAGCATCTTTTTTAGCACTGGAGAAATGGCTTGACCATGTGATCTACCTGCGCCAATGCGTTGACTCTCCTCCAATCATCGAGGGCTAGGCATAGTGCTTCGGGTTAGCTCTGGAGATATTCTGTCCAAATAAATATGCAATGCATATGTGTTTGAATGTTTGCCGAGCTCAAAGCATAAGACCATGTTGTCAATCAGTGAAAGGCGTTCAAGACACTAGACCTGCTTATAAATGCAGGTTGAAACAGGTACTAGAATCAGAAACTACTATGTGTGTAGCAAGCGTGCAGTCCTGGAGAAAACGACACGAGCAAAATACTAAAACACACCTGGCTAGTTTCTACTGGTGCGGTGCTTGCTGATGTTTATGCTAACGGGCTGAGAACCGCGCTAGTAGTCGTGCACTTTTCATCAAAGCACCAATCATGCCTTTGATGTTGTCACACATTGCGTGAAAGTCGGGATCTTTCAGTTTCATCCATGGCAACATCTTATTGCATTGCATGTGTTCATGTTGCCTTGTTTGTTTGCTGAAATTACCTTGTGTTTTTGATGTTTATGCTCGCTCTTCGGGAATGACAATTTTTGCCTACTGTAAAATATAACCCAAGAATCTTATCGACATTTGTCCGCCTATCTAATCTACATCTAATTGTTCATGCTTCTCTCATCATGAGCGTCAGGTGCATCTTCGACCTTTGGGGTGGGGGGTGGGGGGTTAATGATGCACGCTCCGTGATGTCCAACGTCACCGGCATTTTTACATCATGCATTTTGCTGCATCATGCGAATCAAATGCATCTTCGTCCTGGTTGGGGGGTAATGACGTATGCGTTCGGTGATTGCCTTGTCCTCATCTTCATTTTCATCGTGCCAAATCTTCAAAGTGTTTGCAAAGGTACTGTTGGAGGTGGGGAAACACAGGCAAAGATTTGATGCTTTGTATAGGACACGCCGTTTACATCATTGAAGAGAGTGTCCGACAACTATGCTTGACTAGAATTTGTTCAAACTTTCTTGGCTGTGGCGACATAGCAAAATGCCCTTGAATCCTTAAAACAAAAGAGGCAGTTTTACGGGATGAATTTGGATGAAAATGCATATTTTGCTGCAGCGAAACACGAATTCGAAGTGAAGCACATTGTAAGTGAGGCGTGCAAGGCCCTTTTTTCGGAAGTCAAATTTTCCGAAACGTAGGTTTTCAGATCATTTCGAACCCCACCAGTTCAAGATTAGATAGACGTCATAAAGCGCAAAAACGCAGGCGCAGTTGTCAGCCCGACGGGATGTTTATGTTTTGCTAGGTGACAAGCTTATTTGCTTGTTTGGCGTTTGCTTTGCCGCAGGTCCGATGCGGTCTTCTTCCAGGGTTCCAAAACCACAACACGGATTCCCAACTTTAAGCCGGCAAAGGCTCCCACAAAACAAGGTCGCGTTGATCGCTACTATCAGCCATCAACAGCTATCATTTTTGATGTGTTGTCATGTTTCTTGTTAAGCTATGCCCTTTTCTTTCCCTTTGTGCTTCTTTAAAATCCAAGACCCTGCAAAAGGATACGGGCAGAGGGAAGTTGACCAGGTTTGAAACATATATAGCTCCAAATTTAATCAGACGATATCCGCAAGCTTGTCAGAAACAGAGAACAACCTTCCCACAGGGCGACGGTCAACGGCCAGTGGCACCAAGGATGATTTGCCGCCAGCAACAGAGGTGCTCACTGGCGAGGCCTGGCCGACGACCTAAATTGCTTGAACGGTTGATTCGAGATATGTTTTTTCGGATGAATCGGCTGAAAACAGTCGCCCTGGAGGCAGTTATTAGGTTGCTGGTCAAGTTGGCATTAACATGAACAAACAGACCTGTATGTATTGAATTGACTCGACTGAAAACTGACTGCTGACTTGTTATGGACACTGCTGGCAGGAACAGATGGAAGAGTCAAAGAAGGATGAGTTTTGAATGAAGAATTCGTTTTAGGCTGAGATAGGCTGTGAATTTTTGAATGGGTGAACCTATTGTAGTCGTAGCCTCAATTTTGAACCCGCTGTCCATCGAATTGATCAGGTCGAACGTTGAGCAGGTGGGTCTCTTTCGGTGGCAGCGTGGAGCAAAAAGTTGGGTGCATGTCCATCAAGTCTCTTGGTTTTGGAGTAGGAAGGTTCGCTTGTAGGACATGGACATGCACCCCAAACTGACATCAGCACTGTTAACGTGCATAGAAACTCTAGAGCTGATGCTCAAAGAAAAGCCAGCGCTTCACACAATTTTTATTGTCACCAACACCTTTTGAGTTGTTTTTGTGGCCAGGTGCAAAACTGTTGAAGGCCTTTCCAGATCGACAGATGTGGAATAAGCCTCCAAAAGTTTGATGGACTGATTCGTGATCGAAAGAGGGTATTATACACCAAACCTCATGGAACCACTGTGACGTTAGAGTCTGGCGATGTCTAAACTAAAGCAGGCTATTTGGGTGCTGTATCATTTCCACTCAAGGCATTGTGACTTTGCCACTAAAGTTCAAGTTGGCATAGCGATGCATCAAGGTGTACAGATACGCAATAGCTGCATACGCATAGAGAAAGCGAGGAATTGAGATTAATTCATCAGCCATACATGCAGCGTGTTGCGTATGAGTCCAGCTTGTTGCGTCCAGCTTGTTTCATGGGTTCACTTGTGGGTCCCACGCGTTGCACTCAATACTCACGCCATCGGCTGCCATGCCACAGCTCCGAATAGTTGTCACTGGCGACACCAATAGCAGAATCCTTAGCCTTCAGTTTCGACTACTGAACTAAGACATACTAAAACATTATGTTTGTTTTGGTTTCAACCTTACCTCTTGTTTCCGCCTTACCCACCTTTGGAAACAACTAGCAGTAACCAGCAGCTTGATACATTCGTGTCAAGGCGGCAAGTCAACTTTGACAAACGCCGTCATCGGCCTGGGGCTTGAGAAGCAGATCCAGCCAGCAGTAGCGACGATGTCAAGTTGGGTGGGTCACAGCATCGACCAGGTGGGAAAACCATCAACAATCAAACTCAAATGTGGAATCGTTCACGTCAATTCACACTATCAATTGTGCAGGTTCAGCTGATTCACCACACCCTGACAAACCTGCTGTTGGCCATAAATCATAAATCACCATAAAACAATAAATCGATAGTATATGACAGTATCGGTATTAGTACTTATGATGTGTCGAAACGTGATCACGAAAGCCAAATGGAGTCCCCTCAGTATCGTTTGTAAGCTCCAAGGTCGTGAACTTCTTCCAACATCTTCCCAGAGCGAGACGGGGTCCTTGGAACCTAAGTACTTGTCCAGAAATTCAAGGGTGTACTGTGTGAGCAATGTGCACAAATTCTACAAGACCTAAATTCTATGATGAATCCGATGATTTGGAGCTGTGTGGATGTTTCATTCTGGTTATGTACCACGGTTACAAAGACTTGGTTCACATTCCATGCCGGGTGTCATGAAACATGTCCAACAAACGCTGCACATTTGGCTCAGCTCTCCGGTACAATGCAGGGAAGGCTTTGCCACCGTGTGCAGGCCGAATCGAGACTGGTTCACAGAGCATCAGGAAATTTGATAATTCGTAAGTGGGGCTGGCGTGTTCTGTTAGGCCCAAGTGATTCTTGGAAGCCTATGGTTGCTGGCCCTTCCGATTGAAGCTGTCCAGTTCTTAGAGTTTCAACTGCTGTGCAGGTGTGAAGCTGTGAAGCTGTGCAGTTTCAACTGCTGGAAACCTACTCTGAGGTGATTTGGCGGGCACCCGAGACGATGCTTGGCTGCAAGGTGGCGTTCCCTGTCACAGCGACATGGCGACCTATGACAGTGAGGTTGAAGCTTCACCAGCTGCCGGTGGTGGAGAAGGCCAGGCTTTTTGCGAGGGGAGTTCTAAGTCTACAAGGAGTCAACCTTGCTAAGGAGTCACCTTTTTCTGACTCCAAAATCCATCCAACCCCTTTGTTGGCTGTGCAGTTGCCAAGGCCTGCCCGCACTGTTGCTACCACGGCGAGAAGGAAGCATCCTGACACCGCTTGCTGATTTTGCGATGTACATTGTACATGGTGTGTGCATTGGTTTTTCATTCAAAGGTGCTTGAGCTGAGGTTCCTTGTCTTGATGTGGAGAAATGCGCTAAGAAAGGCCCTGCAAATGGCAAGCCCCTTCCATGCTCTTCATCAAAGTCGCAATTTTAATTTGAGTGTCCTTTGGTTGGGAGGTGGCAAAGCAGGCACACAAGTATGAGCATATTTATTTTGTCAAAACTGAGGTATGCAATTGCTATGTCCTTTGTCGGTAGGCCCAAGGACAAAATGTTGCCCTACATCAAGTCTATGCAAGCAGCAGCAGCCATGGCCAACAATGCAGACATTCTGATGGTCATGCAAAAGTCCGACAGTGAACACATGACCGCTCATCAGAAGGAGTTGTTCCGTAATCACAGTGTGAAGCTTGTGGAAGTGGACTGGGACACTCCTCCCAAGATGAAGGGCTACAAAGAGGGTGGCTGGTGCGGCCACCAGGACTTCATCCGCCTGCATGTTCTTGGAATGGAAGGCTATGATGCCATTGCCTATTATGATACTGACATTGAGTTCCAGGGTGATATCACTCCAGTCTTGCGTTGTGCTGCATCTGGAAAATTCCTCTCCACCAATGGAGGAGTGATTTGGCACTGATCTCGTGAGATGTCTCACATGTTGACTGCATGCCTTCCAAGCAGTTATGTAGAATATTTGATTGTGTTGATATGAAATAGGCGCAGAGTAGCAACTGTCAAGTGAAATAGCCAGGGTAGCAGGGCTTTCTTGAGCTGGGTAGCAATGTTTGTAAGGTTGGCGAGCCTTTGAACGTTGGCTTCTTTGCGGTAAAGCCTGACAAACGTCTCCTCCAAGCTTCGTTGAAACCTAGCTGTGAGTGATGCGTGCTGAGTGTTGTGAATTGGATTGAACTAGATGTAGAGTGAGTTGAATTCAACCGAGTTGTTAGCCAGTGAGTTGTTCCCTCAATTGAAGATAAGATTGTTTGCTATAATATAGAGTAGAGCCGGGTCTGAGCAATATAGAGCCGGGTGTGACATGTGTAATGAGTGTAATGACTATTTGCTCGTACCCACCAGCTTTTTGGGGCTTTTCAACCCAGATGATGGTTTTCATTCCATTTGTTTCCTGATAAGGAACTTTGCTTTGGATGCAAACTTCTCCACGAAGACCAGCTGGGGCGAGATGGGCTGGGCTCCAGCAGGAGGCTACTTCATTGGCGGGGAGTGCGGACAAGGTGGGAGTGTCGCATTGTGTGTCTCTTTGACGGAACTTTTTAAACCTAAGAGCGATGGCCTCCAACCTAAGAGCACAAACATCTCTGACTTGAACCAAAAGGCTTTTGGTACGCCCTCTTCTACGAGCCGCTGGGCGAAAAGTTCAGCCGCTCAAAAGACCGGTGAACAGTGTGTGGGTGCTGAGGAGTGGAGGATCTGCCACCAGGGCTCTTCGGTCAGTTGGCTTGCCTGGAGTCGATTCAGCTCAGACTCTTGATTCGGAAAGGGGCGGAAGGCAACAGTAAAAAAGGGGATGACCCCAAGTATAGGGAGTGGAAATCATTTGGAGACTCTTGATGTGTGCACATATTCTTCGTTCTGAACTTGGTGCTCCACATGTCCTTCAATGAAAGTGAAGAGCACGTTTCATCCCTTGTGTCCACATAAATTGCTTGTTTTGCGCTGGACAGTTAGATGCACTCAGGATAGATCGTTGCATTTGGAATTACCAGACAAGTTACATGTGCCACTTCGCTGCAGTGAAGCCATTTCCAATGTTTCTTCAAGAATCAGTAGGCTGCCATCTTTATTTGCCCAGTCTTTGTCACTGCTTCTATAGGCAAGAAGGATCTGGATTGCAGTCGTGTGCGAGTCCATCACAAGCCCACACGCAAGACAGATGCGCACTCGGAGTGTCAGAAACTTGCCTTTCGAGAAGGACATCACTGATCCCAGCGACTCTGCTTCATGGGCGTTTTGGTTTGCACCCGTCAAGGCCTGCAGATTTTAACGATGTGTTTAACTTCACAGGTAAGGAAGTAGGAGACCAACAAGCCCGTTTGTTTGCTTAGGTGGAGTCGAAGTCAACAGCTTGGCGGCTGAGTCAGACAGTCGCAAGCGGGCAAAAAAGAGATAAAAAGAGTTAGTGGAGGTTACAAGTAGTCACCTGTGGCATGGGAAGCTGTGCCAGTTCATTCGAGAAACACTGAGAACTACACAAGGCCCCCAACAACAGCCAAGCAGACTAATGAATCAGTTCAACTGCAGCGTGTGGTTTTTTGGTGTCCCATGGAGTAACGCACAGTGGTAAGGAGAAGTACTCGTAGCAGTGCCCGGTCGTCCCTGTCCCTTTCACATCATGTTAGGTGCAACTGTTTGCACCTGACAATCTCCTAGGACATCAGTCATCACGTATGTCGTACCGTTGCAAGTTGGAGAGGACTGCATCGAGCTCAGCGCGATTCACTGAATCCATACAAGTCAAGTCACAAGTGGCTTTACGGCTTTGTAATTGCTGACTAGACAAGACAAGCCCTTTTAAATCTTTTTAAAGTTTCTGTCGTGAGTCATGTTTCTCAGTGGAATTCAGTGGATATATCCAATTGTGTGCCCCGCAGCAGCACTGACTTGGAAGATCTTGGAAGCCAGCCAAAAAGGTCAACCAAGAGCCCACGATTTGGGTGCTGTTGTTGTTGCGGTGGTGGTGGTGGTGGTGGCGGTGGTGGTTCTTTTGTTGTTCCTGTTCTTGTTGTTTTCACAACTCTTGCAGCATGGTCATTGGATGCTATGTTGGTTGGCGATACTTCAACATAGACCTGAGGCAATTCGATCCCAGTCTTGTCTGCGGCTAAGACATGTGCAACCTCTTAGCTCTCTCGACACAGTCATTTGAATCGAAGGCATTGTTACAGCGATTCCAAGCTTCAGCCTGTAGCAGAAGGCCATGAAGGAGTCCCTCAACTGCACGGAGTCGAAAAGAGAGATTACAAACATTCACACCAAAACCCTTGCGTTCCTCATGTACAACCCGACACAAAAAGCATGTCACCTCGTCTCACCTGGGTTTTTTAGGCATCATTTGGGCCCGTGTATTTTAGCCACCCAAAGCAAATTCTGATTGCTGCAGCTTCACGCACGTTCTTTTGGCTTGTGCTTTTTTGGTCACCTCAAAAGCAAAGCCACGCGACGAGCTTAGGTTCAAGAGTATTTGCAAGATTTGAATTTGCGAGCGCGCTCCACGCTTGGCGCAGTTCAGTGCGTCGAATGCCGGCTGGATTGTCCCTTGCGGGACTGGGCTTCTGAATCAGAATGCACGAGCTCCGTCCAACTCATGATTGAAATACAAGACTGCTTGCTTGACCTGCGATGGCATTACCATTCCTACTGTCACTTTGACATATTGCATAATTTGCCTTTGAAGCAACAAGACGTTATTTATTGACATTTTGAAGAAGAAGGAGTTGAAGGATTTGTGATTTCTGTTTCTTCCTTTCCATGTCCATCTATAAAATTGTTGTTTCATGTTGCTTCCAACATTCATGGGCTGCGAGGATTCACTTAATGTGTTCGTTCCTCCTGCTGCTGAATGGCAAGATGTTCAGTTCTTGGACATTGGAGGTCGTTCGTACTTTCGGATTTGCACACACAGACTTTCAGATTTGAAGTACTCTTTTGTAGTCAGATTTGTTGATATCTCTTGAAGTGTCGAACATAATTGAGAACCTTTGCAATGCACGCTTTTTGTCCTTGCACGCATCACCAGTTCGTGGCATCGTAAAGACTGGAATCAGTCGGGCTTTCCCTCAGAGTCGCTCCTCGTCCAAACATCTTCACGCGTCAGTGCGCTCTCCTCTTGTTCAAAGTGTGACACACCAGTGATGATGTGATTTCTCAAACCAACTCTTGCTTTTTGTCATTGTACCGACGAAGCTTCCCGCAGTAATCTTTTTGCTATAGTGGAGTTAGCCTCAAATTTGCTTCCAAGCAATCGTTGGCAAAGCACTCAAGCAATGACGTCTTTGTAAACCAATTGCCCCCCACTCTGTATGGCAGGTGCAAATGAGATTCTGAACCCTGCTGTTCAGGCACCCTATCAGCTGCTCATTGCTGCTTTGGAATGATTTGTGTATCTTCATGAGCAGAATCTCAGAAGTAACTATGCTGACTTGGCCAGGTATGTGCGGACTTGGCCTATGCCTTGTCACATCGACTCATCGTTTGCGTGAGGCCAATTCGAGTGTTGATCCATTGGCAAGCGGTGTACATCGAAGGCATATTCTTTAAGATGTGTGTAGGCTATGTTACAGTACTAGCATTAATGGCCTCCAACCTACTAGCAATGGCCTCCAACCTAGAAGCAATGGCCTCCAACCTAATAGCGATGGCCTCCAACCTACTAGCTTCTTGTTACTAGTAGTAATGGCCTCCAACCGGTGGCTACGGGGTGCCAGATTCAGAGAAATGAGTTTCAAGACTTCGCGCAGTACTTTGGCTTTTGTGCAGGCATGATCAGATCACCTCCAGGGCAACACAGCAGTTGGTGTTAGACATCAGAGCCAAGGCAAGCTTGAGCGCGAAAAGTTCCCTGCGGCGTGAATGTTCAATGAAGGCGTTCTTGTTGTTCTAATAGTAAAGTGATGTCACGTCCCAGACGTTCCTGATTGTTCATGATCCTGGGTGTGTTGGCCATTGTGTAGAACAAGCAAGGAGGTGGATGGCATGCCATGTTCTCATATTCATTGTATGAGTCGCATCAGTGTGGCCTGGAAAACAAGCACGCAAAGGTCGCAAACGGGGCCTCCCATTCATCTTTTTGAGGCTCCTTATCACTTCAATGACGACCTGGCAAGACCAGATCGGTGCCCTTTGATCTTCGCGATTACCCAGGCACTCAGACTTGAGACTCAGGATTCATGATGTTCATGGCAGGTAACACGGATGTGCGTCAGTTGCCTAAGCTTGGAAAGGGAGACAAGATTGGACGACTGCTTTCGCCTCAGGCAGATCAGGTCCTGGATGAAGAACCCGGAGAGAAGTGGGAAGTTCTTCGGCAGAGTTTGCGTGCTGTTTTACACAGGAGCTTCCTCACAATCATCAAAGCCTGGATAACAACGACTGCGAAGATTGTTCGTGACTCTTGTCATTCTGAAAAGCTTCATCAAGCTCGCACTAACAACATGTAAACAAATCATCAGCCATCAGCGTTCCACTGCTCAGAGCTCCAGGACACTGGCAGATTGCGTTGAGCTAACGCAGGTCATTCCCATTGTAATTGTCAGTGTGACTCGCCCAAGAAAGACGGAAACGCCGTGGAACAACGGTTGACAGCTCAAGTCACTGATAGGAAGAAAGCCGAGGCGAAGAACGCCCTGGATAGCCAGGGCAAGCCGCAGTATGATCCTTGTCTGAAATGGCCTCCAACCTACTACTAGCGATGGCCTCCAACTTAATGGCGATAGGTCATTGCTTGGGTGATTTGGGGTATGCAATCAATTGAGTGCAGGACTGGGTAGGTCTCGGCTTGAGTCACTCCTTGGATCTCCTTGGTGAATCATGCTCTTTTGGCATCAGATTTTCCTACATGGCTCACGCAAATGTTCAAGCAGGGATGTTCTTGAGAGATGCATATGTGTTTGAACACAATAACGATCAAGATTAGGATCATATGTGTTGCCAAGACAGGCCAAGCATGTTTCGCCTTATTGGAAATGGCTTGGATATTTGCCAGGAGTGGCATACATTCGAAGACTTGCTGATCAACACCGCTGGTCTAAAAAGACACTCGGCACCCGATTTATCTCAATCCGAAAAGGATCGACAGGTAGCAGGTAGCATGTGCGGCATCAAACCGTAAGGGGATGCACAAATGCTATCAAATGCTCTCGTTACCTCTTGTCGGAAGTCAATGTTCTAGACCTGAACATGTGACTGACAAACAGCTAGCTTCCATTGTCATTTTATTTGTGGTCGTCCGTCTATGCTCAGGAGATGTGATACAGGAGAGTAAGGCCAGGAAAGTTTGGCCCCTGCTGAGCTGATGTGATCCGATGTGGCTCATGGGATCATGGAGAACTGGGCACAGGTAGGTAAGGGAAAGACAAGTCTTGGGACTTTGCAGGTGCGCAGAGCTGCATACATCCACGAGCTGCTGAAAGAAAACCTTGCTACTTATGAGAATGCCGAGGACATGACACCACAACTGTTGATCGGAAATGGTCGTGCAAATTCTCGTGGAAAAGCGTCTCGCTGTCCTGACGCTACACACAAACACACACCACAATTTGAGTTGTTCGATGTCCTTCAAAGTATTGATTTGTTCAAGAACAAGCAAGCAGCCACAATTGAATTATGAGAAGCCCAAGCGGCAGGCTTGGCCATACAATGCCCAGTGTGCTTTGCTCAGTTTTGATGACCTTTGCAGAGTCTTTTGGGGGCCTCATCGATCTTCAGATATTTGGCATGTCCAAGGACACCTTGAGCCAAAGAGGTTGCATCAAGTGGCTTGTCCTTTTCTCTCAGGCCTTTGGCATTCTCGCAGAGATTTTGGCAAAAAGATTGCCATTGGATCTGCAGTTGCTGCTGGATCTGCACCAGCCTTACAGCATCATCAATCACTACTGGGCCTCGATGGTAGATCGAATTGTGCAACGAAGATTCTATTTGTTCTTGCTGAGAAGTGGCTTGGGAATGGTCAGTCGCGACTGAAAGAGAAACATGTGTTCGACTTTTTGCAAGTTCTGCAGTTTGACATATTGCTCTCCCTCATCGTTTCTACTTGCAAACTCCACATTGGTTCTTGATCGCAACGGCCACCATCAGGTTGGAACCGCTTTGGCTTTTGGTGTTTTCCTCTCAGCCTCCTCAGCAGCTGCAGTGGCAGCTGCAGAGGCTGGAGCAGCATCTGCAGAGGCTCGCACCCGTCTTTGTTCTGCATGCAATTTGCAATGCTGCGATTTCCATGGCACTTGGCACTTGTGCTGGGCCTGGGGGTCCTTTTGACGATGTGCATCGCCATCTTAAGTATACAGATAGATAAATTCCTTGGGCCGAGTTTTTTTGCTCGTCAAACCTTCTGAGGCCACTGCCGCTGCGGCCGCTGCGAACAGTTGGCTATGGACTTGGTTTCGGCTCGTTGCCTTTGTCAAATCAGATGGAAGAAGAAGTCTAGTCTCAGAGTCACTGACTTGCCAGACACGGCTGATTCCACTGCAGCATTCTAGGAGCAATTATAGACCACCTGATTGCCTGTCGTGTCCAAAGTTGCTCACCTGTGATTCCGCAAGGTGGGCGTGGGCCTTTGGCTTTGGGCAATTTTCCGCGGCTGCCACTGCTGCATCTGGAGCTCCATGGCATTGGGAATAGTCAACTCGCTGCTTTCAAAAATGCCTTCGACTGGTGTCAACCTCGTGCGTTTTTGACTTAAGCAGCTTGGGTATCCCTTAATTAATATAGCAGGTTGCGGTTGTTGTGAATGTCGGAAAGACTTTCTGATGCCACATCATGTATTACCAAGTGGCTTGCTGGGCTTCGAAGTATCAAGAAAGGCGTGGGTTCAGGGTGAGTGACCATCCTTGGTACCAGCAGCGGCCTTTCCAGTCCAGGCTGCTGCCACTGCAGAGGCAGCTGCTGCCAGTGCTGCAGCGACTGCCGGCGCTTGGGGCCTGGGCTCAGCCATTGCCGGTGTCTCCACAGCAGGTCTGACGTCTCTTGGCCTCAAATCTCCTTGTTGCACAGTGTGGTGGATGGTAGAAAGCGGCAGATCTTGATTTTTCCTGGCTTATTCCAAGTACGGAGCATGTGATAATCTACAGTATATTTATTCAACATTCTTCAACAACGAAGGCACAAAAGTCCTTGTGTCGTCAATCTCCTACCACGATGCCAAGAAGTTAGCACCAAGATTTGCCAAAAGCTTGTACCTCGATGTTTTGCCGGTAGGAAGCGAATGCCCCTAGTAGCGTCCTTGCTCCTAGTAGCGATGCCCTTTGCTCCTAGTA